CTGCTGGAGGAAGGACCTGCTGGAGGAAGGACCTGCTGGAGGAAGGATCTGCTGGAGGAAGGACCTGCTGGAGGAAGGACCTGCTGGAGGAAGGACCTGCGGTGACGCTCCTTTGTGCATTTAGGAGCAGGAACCTGTCACTGAACGAGCTCTCCAGTTCAGCAGCAGCTTCATGGGGTGGAGACGTTGTCCAGCAATGATGTTATTTTAACTGGAGTCCTTCTGTCTCCCACCACCTGACCTGGGTTGAGGGGCGTCCAAGCACCGAGCTGGTCTTCTTGATGATCTTATCTAGCTTCTTCTTCTCAGCTGATGATAAGCTGCTGCTCCAACACACAACACCATAGAAGATGGCTGATGCCACTACTGAGTCAAAGAAGGTCTTCAGGACCTGCACTCCAAAAGACCTCAGTCTCCTCAGCAGGTAGAGTCTGCTCTGACCCTTCCTGTGAAGTGCATCAGTGTTGTGAGACCAGTCCAGTTTATTGTTCAGGTGAACACCCAGGTACTTGTAAGAGTCCATGATCTCGATGTCCACACCCTGGATGTTCACCGGGGTCAGTGAGGTGGACCTGTGTATCATATATGTATTTTATTTATATATATATTTCATGTCATCTTTCTTTGTTAAACCAGGTCTCTCTTGTAAAAGAGTCCTCGAGGCTCAATGAGATTAACCTGTAGAAATAAAGGTTGAATGAATGTTCGGCGTATTGTTTTTATACGAGTGTTTAGTGTATTCTTAGTTCATATCTTAATCTTATTACCATTTTTCTTTAAAATTATTACTTTTGTTGGATGTAACTGGGACCATGAGTACAGTTTCGTTCCACCACGTGGTGCGAACGACAAAGAAACTTTGAGGTCGTTTTCACAGCTGATAGTCCGGTAGACTCGGTTCGGTTCTGGACCAATATTCATGAGCTTTTGTTACATTTGAGCTGGTCTGTTTACATTCACACTGTACTGGAACCGTGCTGTTCTCTTCTACCGGACCCAGACCTAGGTTTTAGCCCGGGCCAGAGTTCACCTTTTTGTTCCGTGACAGAGTTCGATGGTGCGTTCACACCTCCCTAAACGAACTGGACTTTCTAGTAAAACGAGCTGGAGTTGGATTAAAACAACTAAACAGGGCTGGTGTGAACGCAGCCTGACTTGATTTGAAGTCGTTGCTATCTTCAGTGGCTCGCTGTACCAGTGAGCAGGAAAACTACTGGATGTGAAGAATCAGCCAATGAGCGTGAAGGTCCAACAACTCTCTGACCATGACTGACAGCCGACATCATTCTGCTGAAAAGTCTCATTATGAAATAAGCAATCATGGAAAATACAATTATGAAATAAAAGAATAAAAATTTCCATAATACTAATTTCATAATGTTTAATTTGTCTAGTTTTGAACATTTCAGTGTTCCACACAGATGTGATGCTATGGGCTGAAAGTCGTCAAGGCAGGATGCTGCAGAGGTCTTTGGGACGGGGCAGCAGCGGAGCTCTGGAAGATGGAGGCCACAACACTCTGACTCAGAGACAGGCAGGAAGTAAGGTTGGTATCAAGATAAAACCTGAAAGCAGAATTTGGTTTTAAAAAATCATACAAAAAGTCAGTTTATAAAATTGGTTTTAATATTTTTATTATTTTAAAAACAATGAAAAGTTTAGCTGTTTTTCTTTGAGTTTCAGGATGTTTGCAGAGTTTGAACACAAGGTGGAACTTGCACAGAACATCTAAAGAACCTGATGTTGTTCCTCAAGAAAACTTCAAACTCCCGGTTGTTTTCCGGTAAAGCTCCTATGTTTCCTGAAGATCAGCCGGACAGAGCAGCTGCTGCATTTTTAATCACAAACTAAAATCGATTAAAGCTGTATAAAAGTTGGATTTTTACAGCAGAGACTCAGAATACAGTCTGTACGGGGAGTGGTGGTGCAGAGGTAAGAGAAGGTGGACCTGTGATCGGAAGGTTGCCGGTTCGACTCCCAGTGAAGCAGGGAAGTGAGGGGAAGGGAAAGGTAAAGCACCCACAACTGTCTCCACCCTCATTCGTCCCACCCTGGGCCCTTGAGCAAGGTACTTGACCCCCACCACCTGCTCCCCTGGGCGTCTTACATGCAGCTCTCTGCTCCACACAGAGGCTGTGGTAGCTCGATGGTCTGGGGCTGCTCAGGAAGAACATTCAGCGTAAAAACAATCACCAAGTCTTCGTGAGAGTGAGTCCATTGTGGCGACCCCTGAAGAAGGGAGCAGTCGAAAGAAGGAAAAGACTCAGAATAAAGTCCTCCTGTTCACCACTGGGATGAGACACCAAGATGGAGACACAAGAGACGCCAAGACACAAGATACAGAGACACAGAGATGTCCTCTGAGACACAAGAGACAAACAGATGCCGAGACAGAAAAGATAGACTGGTGCCGAGACACAAGGGACAAAGAGACGCCGAGATACAAGACATGGCAAAACACAGAGATGCAAAGACGTAAAGACACCGAGACGCAGAGAAATGGAGACGCCGAGAAACAGGTGCCAAGGAAAAGAGATGCTGAGACACAGAGACGTCAAGAGACAGAGACCCCTTGAAACACAACCAGACCCTCAGTAAGACACCAACCTGCAGAACCTGAAAGCACATCCTGTTTAGTTTTCATCGGCTCAGTGTTCCTGAAGTACGGTTTAGTGAAAGTGAAACCCAGCAGGTCTCTGAAGAGGACTTCTCTCTAAGAGCAGCAGCAGAAGAGATGACTGGTTCAACACCTGAAGCAGAGAAGGGTCAAGCAGAGCTAAAGAAGCTCCTGAAAACATCCGCTCCGAGTTACTCGGCTCGCAGCCTGTAGCGGAAACAAACGTCCGAGGACGGCTGCAGGATTCCCAGTCCGGCTCGGGACGAGTCTAGCAGGGGCCGGTTCTGCCCGTCCTCCAGCTGCAGGTCGAAGTAGAGCAACACGAGACACACAAACTGTTTGATCTCGTTGATGGCGAAGTACCGGCCTGGACACTTGGAGGAGCCGGAACCGAATGGCATCAGGAAGTACTTCAGCTTCTGTCCATCTTTCTGGAAGTCTGTCTTCTGGTTGCCATCCTGCACAAAGCGGTCAAACCGGAACACCTGAGGGGACAAAAGGATCCAGGATCAGGTTTAATCTGGACTGGATTGTCCAAGTTCAAGTTCAAGTTAACGTTATTGTTGATTCCACCACATGTGGTACATGAGATGGAACAAAATTATGTACACAGGGTCCCAGTTACACCCAAAAATAGCAAAATACAAAGTGTAAGAAGAAACAGCATAAAAGGATCTAAGATATACTGTACACTAAATGAACGCCAAACGGTACGCTACAAGATCCAAGATATACGCTAAATGTTAGTCAATAAAAATAACTTTTCCTTTTGGATCCAATAGAACTTTATTCCACCATGCTCATCACAGCTCAACAACACTGACACCACAGAAGAAGAGTGTAAACCCCATTCCCATGCGCTACTGGCATGACAGGGCCCCCTAGTGGATTGGCATGCAAACTAAACTAAACAAAGGGGTAACACTAAACACCAATAATGTAAAACAATACAGAGTAACAACAGGAGCCCAAACATGAGTCTGTGGTGAGCACATGGGTATGAATGAATACAGCAGCATGAGATCATCAACAGCATGAGATCAGCAGGATGGAAAATCAGCAGCACAGGTAAGTCGCATATTAAAGTAACCAAGTACCAATTAAAGTGGCATTACAGCAATTTTCTGTTTAGGGATTCATGAGTCTGACAGCCTTATGGTAGAAGCAGTTCCTCAGTCTAGTGGTTCTACACTCATCTTTAAACCACTTCCTGGTCTGCTGCCTTCATACATCTCCTCCTACATGTCTCTGTGTGAGTGCAGCTACAGCGTGCGCTCTCAGGACATCATTACCTGCAGTGTTCCCTCAGTGAGGACTGAACTAGACAAAAGGACCTTCTCCTACTCTGCTCCTGTTTCCTGGAATATCTTGTAAAAAGATCTGAAGCTCTCGACCTTTGACCTCTCTAAGTGGCTTTAAGAATCTGTTGGACTCCTGGCAGGGACCAGTGCAGACATGTTCCTGTTTTTAGTTTTCTACATTTGTCTTAGAATCTAGCTGTTTTTTGTTACTTATTTTGCATCTTATTTGTAAAAAAACCCAAAAAACTGTATGCCTCTTTTATGATTGTCCATTGTTGTCATCAATCTTTTGAAATCAGGTCTCTCTTGTAAATGAGTCCTCGAGGCTCAATGGGATTAACCTGTAGAATTAAAGGTTGAATGAATAGAACTCCCTGTAATTAACGGATTCTACTTCAGTGACTGATTCTGATTATTAAAAGGTGAACATATTAATTAAGTTGTTGTTGGTCAGTAAACTGACCAGCTGGCGTCCCACTTTAACGAGAGCTAATAAATAAAAACAAATGTAATCAAGGGGAGTAGAGAAAGCGTCACCCTTCTTCCTCCATCTCAAATCCTTCGTTATCGCTACAACTTCATGTCCGCCTTCAACACCATGATCCCCCTAACCCTGATGGACAAACTACAAACACCAGGACTAAGCCCCTCCATTTGCAACTGGGTCCTGACTTCTTAACAAACAAACCACAGTCAGTGAGGAACCACAACTTCTCCTGTTCCACCATAATCCTCAGCACTGGCTCTCCTCAGGGCTGTGTGTTGAGCCCCCTTCTGTTTACTCTGCTCACGTATGACTGTGCAGCTACCCATCCAGACTGTCACATTGTAAAGTTTGCAGATGATACAGTGGTGGTGGGATGCATCACAAACCATGATGAATCCAGCTACATGCAAGAGGTGGAACACCTGGAGAGTTGGTGCAGGAAGAACAACCTTCACTTCAGTGTGAAGAAGATGAAGGAGATGGTTGTGGACTTCAGAAGAAGCAACCTCCCACCCCCCAAGAAGATATGTGGTGGAAGTGGTCTCCAGCTACAAGTACTGGCTCAGCTTCTTCTGCAGTTGACTCGGGCTTGGCTTCTTCGGCTGGGGTGAAGCGAGGACCCCAGGAAGAGCGAGGGCCTCTGGAGCCGGGACCATAGCAGTAGCGATAGCCTCTGCAGCGAGGACCTCAGGAGGGACGAGGGTCTCTGGAGCAAAAACCTCAGGAGGGACGAGGGTCTCTGGAGCGTAAACCTCAGGAGGGACGAGGGTCTCTGGAGCGAAAACCTCAGGAGGGACGAGGGTCTCTGGAGCAAAAACCTCAGGAGGGACGAGGGTCTCTGGAGCAAAAACCTCAGGAGGGACGAGGTTCTCTGGAGCAAAAACCTCAGCGGGAGCAAAGACCTCAGGGAGAACGAGGGCCTCGGGAGCGAAGACCTCAGGGGGATCCAGGGCCTTGGAAGCAAAGACCTCTGGAGGAGCAAGGGCCTCTGGAGCGAAGACCTCTGGAGGAGCAAGGGCCTCTGGAGCGAAGACCTCTGGAGCGAAGACCTCAGGGAGATACAGGGCTTTGGGAGCAAAGACCTCTGGAGGAGCGAGGGCCTCTGGAGCCGGGACCACAGCAGCAGCGATAGCCTCTGCAGCGAGGACCTCAGAGGGATGAGGGTCTCTGGAGCGAAAATCTCAGTGGGAGCGAAGACCTCAGAGAGAACGAGGGCCTCTGGAGCGAAGACCTCAGGGGGATCCAGGGCCTTGGGAGCAAAGACCTCCGGAGGAGCAAGGGCCTCTGGAGCAAAGACCTCTGGAGCAAAGACCTCTGGAGGAGCAAGGGCCTCTGGAGCGAAGACCTCTGGAGGAGCAAGGGCCTCTGGAGCGAAGACCTCTGGAGCGAAGACCTCTGGAGGAGCAAGGGCCTCTGGAGCGAAGACCTCTGGAATGAAGACCTCTGGAGCAAAGACCTCAGGGAGATCCAGGACCTTGGGAGCAAAGACCTCTGGAGGAGCGAGGGCCTCTGGAGCGAAGACATCTGGAGCCAAGACCTCTGGAGGAGTGAGGGCCTCAGGAGCAAAGACCTCTGGAGGAGCAAGGGCCTCGGGAGCGAAGACCTCTGGAGGAGCGAGGGCCTCTGGTGCTGGCACGGGAACCAGTCTTGGTGCTGGCATGGAACCAGCGAGGCAGGAGCTGGTGCAGAACCCAGCCTTGGCGTAGGACCCAGCCTTGGTGATGTTATGGGACCCAGCATTGCAGATGCTGAGGCGGAACTCAGCGAGACCAGTGCTGGGACCCAGCGAGGAGGAGGCTGGAGTGGAGACCAGCGAGTCCAGGGCTGGTACTGCTGGCGTGGAAAGCCAGGCAGGAGCAGCTGGCGTGGGACCCGGACCGGGTGCAGCTGATGGTGAGGGAGAGAGATTAGCTGGAGGTGAGATGGGAAGAGAACCAGGCTGAGCAGCAGCCAGCAGAAGCGAGCGCAGCACGCACCTCTCCATCCACGCCTGCTGGAACTGCTGCCACATCTTTGGTGAGTTGTTGTTATTATTGTCAGCCCCGGTGTACCTGGAGATGATGTCCTCCACAGTGATTATCTTCTCCCAGAAATCGCTGGGGCTGCAGGGTTCCTCCCCGCCAGCAGCAGGTGTGCAGGGGCGTGCAGCGTCCTCCCGCCCCCAGCGACGGGTGCGCAGGGGTGTGCGGTGTCCTCCCCCCATGAAGGGAAATGCACGGGCGAGGACTTGGCTGCGTCTTAGAAAAGACGTGCTGGGGTTCGGTGGACCTGGCTCGGTTCTGCCACCCATTCCTCATGCGGTGAGTCAGAGCGGGTTGCCCCCTCCCTTTGAAGACTGCTCCGAGAAAGCATGTGGTGGTTGGGGAGGAGGTGGGTTGCGAGGAGCTGCCGCTCTGTGAGGAGGTGAAGAAAGGCGAGGTGGTGAGTCAAAAGACCCAGTTTTAAAAGCCAGGCGCGTACCTTGGTACAAAGTCTTTTTCCTCTCTTCCTCCTCATGCAGAGCAGTCTTCTCTGCCTCGCGGGCCAGGAACTCGAAAAGAATGATCTTCCTGCCGAGTTCTCTTTGGTCTCTGGATTCTATCATGATCTGACCAAAATGCGTAGGAACCCACACGCAGGAAGACGATGAGACTCCGATAAAAATAAGTAAAATGTTTATTATAAATAAACTAAACAAAATGCTGTCAGGGCAGCTAACTTACTTTAAGGGATGACACGAGGGAGAACGGATCATGAAGCCTTAGGACAAGGACAATCCAGAGACACTGACAAGACACCAAGGGGCTGAACAAGGTGAAATGAAAGGCACCAGTGGTGATTAGGATCAGACACAGGTGCGACAGTGTTGGAACACAGGAGGAGAAATGGTGAGGGGTGACAGGCAAACATGAGGAAAAACACAACATGTATGACAAAACCCCAGAAACCCTACACTGAGAGCTTGTGACACAAGATGTTCTGATCCACAGTGTCAGAATCTTTAGACAGGTCTAAGAAAAGTGCAGCACAATAATCCTTAGCATCCAGTGCTTCAACAACATCATTAAGAACCTTCAGTGAAGCAGTGGTTGTGCTGTGTTGTTTCCTGAAACCAGATTGATGTGGAGGTAAGATGTTAAATGAGTCCAGGTCATTTTTGATTTGAGAGTTTATCAGTTTTTCTAGAACCTTGGCTAAAATGCAGAGTTTAGAGATTGGTCCATAGTTGTTCAGTGAGGTGGGGTCACCTCCCTTCAGCAAAGAAGAACAAAGGCTGTTTTCAAGTGTCTGGATGGAGTTTTGTCTCATGGAGAGATTGAAGATGTGGGTCACAGGGACTGTGATGATATGAGCAGCCAGCCTTAAGAAATAAGGTGGAAGTTCATCTGGACCTGCAGATTTTTTAGGATCAAGATCTTTTAACAGTTTATTGACCTCACTGACTGAGAATGGAGAAAAAGAGAAGGTGTGATTAACTGAGGATTGACTTGTAGGAGGGATTTGATTTGTAGAAGTTTGGTTATTAAGTGAAGTGGCTGATCTTCCATTAGTAACTGTGTCAAATAAAGAACCAGAAGCAACAAAATGTTTGTTGAAACACACAAAGTTTGTTTTCTCAGTCATCCAGGTATATAACAACAAAAAAGGTTGAATCATGTCATCTGGACTTCGTTTTTTTTGTTAAAAAGAAACGTTTCGCCCCTCATCCAAGAGGCTTCGTCAGTCTGAGGCCTAGCCATCTGGTATTACCCAGAAGCCACCCTTACGAAGTCCAGATGACATGATTCAACCTTTTTTGTTGTTATATACCTAGATGACTGAGAAAACAAACTTTGTGTTTTTGAAACCATTAGTGAAAAGGCCAGACTTCAGGGGTATCTGAGGCAGGCTTGAAACACAAGAGTCAGGGTGGCTTCTGGGTAATACCAGATGGCTAGGCCTCAGACTGACGAAGCCTCTTGGATGAGGGGCGAAACGTTTCTTTTTAACAAAAAAAACGAAGTCCAGATGACATGATTCAACCTTTTTTGTTGAAACAGTTCAGGATCTCGTGCTTATTTGACACAGGAACAGAGTTAACGAGAAGTTGTGATGGGAGGTCAGATGATTGGGGGCTGCCTGAGAGAGATTTGATGGTTTTCCAGAATCTGTTAGGGTCATTTAGATTTTTGGAGGTCTGAGATAAGAAATAGTTGTGTTTTGCTGCTTTGACAGCAGTTGTGCATTTATTCCTCATCTGTCGAAAACTCAACCAATCAGTGTCTGAGTCAGATTTTCTCGCTGCAGCCCAAAGATGATCTCTCCTGTGCAGGAGGTCAGCTAGCTCTGGAGTCAACCAGGGGCTGTCTCGTCCTTTTATTCTGAACTGAAGAAAAGGAGCATGTATGTTCAGGAAATAAATGAAACTATTATGAAAATAGTTCCAAGCAGAGTTCACGTCACCAATTAATAGAATACGATGTCCGTCAAATTGAGATAATTCCTACATGAATGATTGTTCACGAAAATATTTCAAATCCCTTTTTAGAATTAATTTGGGCTTAGAAGGTGGAAGTTTAATATCTCTGAGAGTCGCTGTCACACAATTATCACTCAAAATATCTGCAAATACACCGGTACCAGGGAATTTGTGAGGCATATTTGTTAGAAATAGGTCTAAAATGGAAGTATTCTGATGCATGCTCAATAATCCAGGTAGAAAAATCTAAAATGTCTGGTCCTCTGGATGTTCAAAAAACAAAAAAACAACATTGGATTCAGGAGGAGCAGTGCGGTTTAAGTTCTGGTCGTGTAACACTGGACCAGCTCTACACCCTCAGCAGGGTCCTGGAGGGTGCATATGAGTTTGCCCAACCAGTCTACATGCACTTTGTGGACTTGGAGACCACGTCCCTCTGGGAAACCTGTTGGGAGTATTCTGGGAGTATGGGGTACCAGGCCCTTACAGGCCCTTGGGGTACAGGCTGTTAGGTCCCTGTATGACCGGTGTCAGAGCTTGGTTCACATCGCCGGCAGTAAGTCGGGCTCGTTCCCAGTGAGAGTTGGACTCCGCCAAGGTTGCCCTTTGTCACCAATTCTGTTCATAACTTTTATGGACATAATTTCTAGGTGAGGCAGCACAGTGGCACAACTGGTAGAGCTGCTGTCTCTCAGCAAGCAGGTCCCTGGTTCAACCCCCGGTCCAGGGGCCTTTCTGGGTGGAGTTTGCATGTTCTCTCCGTGCTGCGTGGGTTTTCTCCGGGTGCTCCGGTTTCCTCCCACAGACCAAAAACATGCATGTTAGGCTGATTGGTAACTCTAAATTGTCCCTAGGTGTGAATGAGAGAGTGAATGGTTGTTTGTCTCGTTTGTCTCTTTGTGGCCCTGTGATGGACTGGAGACCCGTCCAGGGTGTCCCCCGCCCCTCACACAGTGATTGCTGGACATGGGCACCAGCGACCCCCGTGACCCAAAATGGAATAAGCAGGTAAAGATAATGGATGGATGGATGGATGGAATTTCTAGGTGCAGCCAAGGTGTTGAGGGGATCCATTTTGGTGGCCTTAGGATCGCGTCTCTGTTTTTTGCAGATGATGTGGTCCTACTGGCTTCAACAGGTCGTGATCTACAGTTTTCACTGGAGCGGTTTGCAGCCGAGTGTGAAGCAACCAGGATGAGGATCAGTGCCTCCAAATCTGAGGACATGGTCTTGAGCCAAGAAGTGTAGAGTGCCCTCTCTAGGTCGGGAAGGAGGTTCTGCCCCAAGTAGAGGAGTTCAAGTATCTCGGGGTCTTGTTCACGAAAGAGAGGAAAAAGGAGCAAGAAATCAATAGGCAGATAGGTGCTGCGTCTGCAGTGAAGCGGGCACTGTACTGGTCTGTCGTGGTGAAGAGAGAGCTGAGTCAAAAGACGAAGCTCTCAATTTACAGGCCGATCTACGTTCCCACCCTCATCTATGGTCATGAGCTTTGGGTTGTGACCGAAAGAATGAGATCACAGATACAGGCAGCCAAAATGTGTTTTCTCCACAGGGTGCCTGGGCTCTTCCTTAGAGATAAGGTGAGAAGCTCGGTCATCCAGGAGGAACTCAGAGTAGAGCCGCTGCTTCTCCACGTCGATAGGAGCCAGTTGAGGTGGCTCGAGCATCTGGTTAGGATGCCTCCTGGATGTCTCCCTGGTGAGGTGTTCCGGGCATACCCCACAGGGAGAAAACCCAGGGGAAGACCCAGGACATGCTGGAGGGACTATGTTTCTCAGCTGGCCTAGGAACACCTTGGGATTCCCCTGGAGGAGCTGGACCAAGTGGCTGGGGAGAGGGAAGTCTGGGCCTCCCTACTTAAGCTGTTACCCTTGCGACCCGACCCCGGATAAGCAGAAGAAAATGGATGGATGGATGGATACAAAATACTTTCATTCAGCAAACAAAGACACTGAGGTTCTGCAGCCTGTCTTCAGTACCTGTGGGTCCTCGTAGATCTCGGGGTCCAGGTGCATACTCTGAGGGTACAGAGCAATGACATCTCCTTTCCTGACAGCTACTGAGCGCTCGGCATCCAGCCGCAGACTGAAGTCCTCCTGAGCCACCCGGATGTTCATGGAGGCCGAGGACAGCCGAAGGCTCTCACTGATGGAGCTCTCTGATGACGGAGAGAATCCGTTACTCATTCAACCTTTATTTCTACAGGTTAATCTCATTGAGCCTCGGGGACTCATTTACAAGAGACCTGATTTTTTTTAACAAAGAGTGATGACAACAGTGGACAACAACAACAATAATAGACAGTCATAAAAGAGGCATACAGATTTATAAATTTTTTTTCTTCCAAGTTAAAATATACCTGCGAATCAGAACGTACCCAGGAAGACCAGCTTGTCCAGCTGCTCTTTGCTAAGCATCACATCTCTACTGGGGCTGAACTCCTCACCGCTGGACCTCAGGGTGTCCAAGATCTCCTGACGGACCACTTGCAGGGCTTCTGGGTGGGCCACCAGGTCATAGGTGGCCCAGAAGGTGGCAGGAAGTGTGTTGCCCACAGATGCCCACATGATGGTGAAGTGATGAGCTGAGAGTTGAGAAAAGCCCAGGGTCAGCAGAATCTCACCTACATCAAACCGTTTCTACTGTTTCAAGACCTCAGAAAAACAGTTAATGCAGAAACCTTCAGTCAAACTCCAAACTTATAGAGTTGGAGGTTCTGTTGAGTCCTATTGACTCAGTCCAAAGTCTGAATATCAACATTTTGGACCTGACAACATTTAGATCATTACTGTGGACCTGAAACTGAAGATGTTCCTCAATCAAATGTAAAATAAAAAAAATTAACTGTTTTTTGCTACAAATCAGGCAGTCTGAGACCAGAACTGTCCTGGACTCAGTCTACCTTACTGAACCATCTGTGGTTCCATAAGGAACCAATGTTATTCTAAAACCCCACTGACAGATCCGGCTTTCCTGGACCTCTAACCTGTGTTAAACCAGAAGACCTGGAGAGGACTGGTCTACCTGCTTTGTCCACGTCCCTCATCTTGTATTGGTCCAACAAGTCAGATCGTGTCTGGATGAACTGGCACGTGTTGGACCACCGGGACAGCTGTTGAGGCAACAAGTGGCTGACCAGCTTCTGGCGGACGGTCTTGGTTCGTCCCAGCAGCCAGATGGGGACCTCAGCCATGAGGTAAGGGAACATGTTGTCAAACTTCACAAAGTCATACCACAACTGGTGCATCATGGGATGGCGGCGGGTGGTCTCCGGTTGACCGTAGATGGTGAGGAAGCTGGCCTCAAACATGACCAGGGAGCAAAACTGGTACATGTTGCTGCTTCTCCAGCTGGAGCCTTGATCCAGGTGGTCCTGGCGGAACAGCAGCATCAGGTTACCCATCATGCTGTTTGTCAGGGCTGTCAGGCTGTCACCCTGCAGGAGCTGGTAGGCCCGCCTGATCTGGTCTTGCAGACCGGGGAAGGTCTCCATTTTCGGATACCCAAAGGTCAGGGGGGCCACCCTTTCAGCAAACTCATGGAAGTCCAGCTGTCGGCCATGTTTGATGACGCTCGGGTAGAGTAACGGGTCCATGATGAAGGTCATATATTTACCTGCAGGACAGAGAAGACGCGGTCTCATTAGGACACTCAGAGCCAGGACCATGTACTTTATATGTGTGGGACATTTACCATCCTGTGTCGAAGGATGAATGTCTTAAATGTCCATGGGATATCCTGCAGAGATGTCTCATGGCCTAAAGGATGCCTTAAAGGTCGATGAGACGTCTCACAGAGACACCTCATGGCCCAAAGGACGCCTTAAAGGTCCATGGGATGTCCTGCAGAGACACCTCCCAGCCCAAAGGACGCCTTATAGGACCACGGGATGTTCTACAATGATGGCTCATGGCCCAAAGGACATCTTAAAGGTTCGTGGGATGTCCTGCAGAGACACCTCATGGCCCGAAGGCCAAACTTGAGTCCATATCTAAGCTCTGTCTGTCTGATATGATTTAAGGAGTCTGTAGGTTTCTGGGGTTTTGTCCTGTCTGTCTGTTTCATGTTTCCAGTTCAGCTCAGTGTTTTCCCTCCTTGTGTTCAGACCCTGTCTCACCTGTGTCTTATGTTAATCACGAGGTGTCTGTTGTTGTCCCAATCAGTGTTGTGTATTTATTCAATTCCCTGGTGTCTTGTCTTTGTCTCAGGATTGTCCTCATGGTGTGTTCTGCCTTCCGTCCTGTGTCCTGTTCATCTTGTGCGTACGCTGCCCTGTCAGCTTTTGCTTTGTTTTTGTAAAATAAATGTGTTAGATTGTTCCTCGAGCCTCCTGTCGTCCTCCTGCACATTGGGTTCAACACTTCTGATGGCAGAACCTGAGAGTCATTGTCTGCCACACAGAACCAGAACAGAACCATGCAGCTAAAAGAACCACTCTGTCAATAGGACCATTCTGCTGTAGATGCATTTCTTTTTCACTTGTGGCATCTTGTTTTAGTATTTTTGGTGCATGCTTTGGTAGTTCTTGTTGTTTTTTGGCGAGTCGAGACGGTTCTTCTCACCCTCAGCATTTCATTGCATCGTTGACCTTGTGCTGACCTTGTGTTGATCGGCATATGACAAATAATCCTAACCTAACCATTGTGTTTGTGTTGTTGTTTTTTGTCATTCTGATTGTTGGTTTGAACAGAACTTCTTCACAGTTCTAACAGGACAGATGTTTCAGAACCAACCTGCTATCAGAACCGTAAACACGTCTCCGTACTTCCGCTGATGTTCCTTCAGAAACTTGTGTGTATCTTTTCCAAACTCCAGAGCCTTCCCAAGGAAAGGAATCCATCCTTTGACCAGAGGAGGCTCTCCGTACCGCCTGCAAACACCAGAAAACCTTCAGAACCAGAACCTTGAGCAACACCCATCAGCGTTCATCACAAATTCAGGACTTCCTCTGTAAATATCTGTTACAAAATAAGAGTATCTGAGAGCTTTATTTTGAAGCTCTAGGGTCTGTCCACTTCCTGTTTTCTGTTGACCCTCTGACTGAATCTTCCTGCATCAAAGGTCCAATTAGAGACCACATGAGCAATCTATGGGGGCGCCATGATGGAAACAGAAAAAGAGCATGCTGGGTAATATAAAAAACCCAGAACCTGCTGAGTCATTGGTTGCCACGGTGATCCACACCTTCATTTTATGGTTTGCACTTTGATCGGGGGTCTCCAACCTTTGCTGCACCTCAGACCAGTTTTATTTGTGCCGGGACCAGCAGCAGGTGTGAGGGGACGTACATGATCTAAAATCCAATTATCACGTCTACAGTTTAAATACTTACATTTTTATACTTTGTAAATTATTCATATTATTATTAATATTTTGTGGGTTATTATGTATGATTTAATATAATTAGTGCTGGAAATAACGCGTTATTATCCCATTAATGCAACCAATGTATAGAGGATAGGGTTAAAATATTTAGAATAGAACTCAACTTTATTGCTTTATTGCTTTATTGTCGCTGCACGTCACAAGTACAGAGCAACGAAATGCAGTTTGCATCCATCCAGAAGTGCTTAGCAAAAATATAAGTTTTATATATTATACAGTAAGTAGTTTTGAATATGCTTTAACTACAAGTATAAATATATACAGGTTATGAGTGTACAGACTATGAACAGGTTATAAATATGAAGGGGCATAAACAGATTATTTAAAAGAAAAAATATTTATAAGTATGTGAGTAACAAAGTTCATGCTCAATCATCCAGGTACCAAATCCAATCATTCTCAGTCAGGTCATCTGGACAGTTTCTTTTTTATAGTGATGTTTCGCCCTCTGTACAGCACTTTGGTTGGCCTTGTCGCTGTTTTAAGTGCTCTATAAATAAAATGGTATGGGATGGTATGGTATGACACCCAGCTCTACTTCTCCACCAAGCCCAACACCACCCTTCCACCATTCTTCCTTTTGAACTGTCTCTGTGAAATTAAATTATGGTTTAGTCAAAACATTCTTAAACTGAACTCCAAGGAAACAGAACTTCTCCTTGTTGGCATCAAGTCTACCTTATCCAAATGTAATATGTTCACAATTAAAGTTGATGATTCCACAGTTTCTCCCTCCCCTACAGCTAAGAGTCTGGGTGTCATCCTCCATAGCACTTTATCTTTTGAATCTCATGTCAATAACATTACTCGGTCTGCATATTTCTGGAAAAAACCAAAAAGCTCTACAGTGACTGGTCTGAATGACTATCGGCCAGTGGCCCTCACCCCGATAGTCGCTAAATGCTTCGAAAAACTGGTCATGACTCACATCAAAACAACCATCAACATCA